CTAGTGGCAGTGACCTTGTGGCACCGGTGCACCGTACTCGATCCGCCAGAGGACCTACTCGAGAGACTCCAGCGCCTCCTGGTCGATTTTCTCTGGGAAGGGTGCTACTGGCTCCCATGAGCTGTCCTTTACCTACCTGTCGCTGAGGGGGGGCAGACTTTGGTTGACCTTGCAAGAAAAGTGGTCGCCTTCCACCTGCAGGCCCTTCAACAACTCCTGTACAGCGAGGAGCACCTACCTGGGCAGCACCTGGCATGCCGGTTTCTGCAGAGGGTGGGAGCCCTCGGCTTTGACCGGGAGCTTTTCCTGTTGGACCTTACGCTTTTGAACTGGGTGGTGCTTCCGGCTTTTTACCGTGGCGTGGTATGAGCCTGGCAAACCACTTTCCACCTCCAGCCCCAGGCCCGTCACCTGCAGTTCCCGCAGTTGCTGAGGGACCCCCTGGTGCACAACCCAGCGCTGAGGGCCCCATGCCGAGCCTGGCCTCTGCCAGTCTCACAGCCATTCTCATTCAGGCGCGTGTTCTCCGCCTGAGCCATCTCCTTGACCCCGCTCGGTCAGCCTGGCTCTCGCCTGAGGCCTTGGCCACCCAGCTGGGCATGCGCTCCATTCGCGGCGTGGGCCGCCTCCTGTGTGACATCCGGGCTGCCCTCCCATTGGAGGCAGCAGCCACCCTGGACGACCATCTCTGGGCGGGCCAGGTCCCCTGCACTGAGGATGCCCCGAGTGAGGCTTTTCCTGCTTTGCCAGTCACCCTGGCCGTGGGTGGCAAGCTGGCCGGTGGCCCTGGCACCTCGCTGACGCTCCCTGTGCCTCCTGACAGTGACACGGGTTGCCCTTTTGCTTTTCTGTCGCATAGAAGTCTATATGCCTGGGTGGTTCATGTCCGCCATGCCCAAATGCTGGTGGGCCGCCCCGATACACCATGGCGACGGTGCCTGGGGCTGCCAGATTCCCCACCATCCCACCCGGCATGGCGCACATCGTGTAAGCCGCCAACCACCAACCTTGCTGGGGTCGTTTGACCCCAGTACTCTTTCCTGCCATGGCAGGGGGTCAGACTTGATGATCTGCTCAGGTCCCTTCCAACCCGACCAACTATGAAACTATGAAGAGTGGAGACCTCCAGTGGCAGTTGCTGCATGGCATCCTAGCCACTGGCATGTTTGCATCCCACTTTGACGCAGCCGCCTCGACAGCCTGTCCCTTCTGCCCGGGGGGTGTTGAGGAGACCCTCTTTCATGCCTTCCTTCACTGTCCCCACCTGCAGCCGCTCTTTGTCACCTTAGAGCTGCTGCTGCAGGTGCTGGGCAGGAGCTTTTCGGAGACCACCTATGTGTGCTCCTACCCATACCGGGCGGCTGAGAAGGGCCCCATCTGCCTGGCCAACTTCTTACTGGGTCAGGCCAAGTTGGCCGTCCTCAAGAGCCACCGAAACTGGCTTGCTGGGACCGGCTCAGATGATGCCCTGCGGCTTTTCCGCCTCCTGGTGCAGGTGCACCTCTCACTGGAGTTTGAGACACGCTGGGCCCTTGAGGGAGCGCTGTGCCACGTGGAGTACGGCCATGTCAAATACGTGCTCTGATGTCATGACCGGTCTGGGCGACCGGGCTGGCTCGGTGTCGGACTACGACTTCCAGCTCGTGCTGCATCCTGGGCCCTCACCAGGCTGCTTTTTTCTTTCTTTTTGTGTGGGAAGTTGAAGGTTTTGCTCCCTGCTGGACTGAAGTTTCAGCAGGGAGCAGCTCTGGCCCTTCGACTGGCTGCTGGGTCTCTGGTCATTGCCTTTCAGGGCAGCTTTCTGCACTTCTGCTGCCTTCTGCTGATTAATTTGGTACTCGAGGAGTTCGGCAAAAAGCCCACATCTTTAATCTTACGGCACTTTGTGATGTATAACACAGCGCGCGATGAAAACTAGCAAGAGTGTTACAGATAGCCTTGCCGCTGCAGGTCAGGTTTCCGTCGAGCCATTCTGTTGCCTCATTTTTGTTATTGGTTTTCAACTTTCAAGTAGTTTGCAGACCTGCTTCTTCCCAGCTTCCTCTCAGGGCAGCATATAAAAATAGCCTTTCTGGCTTTCCAATAAGAATCATATTGTATTTAGGTGTCAACGGGTTAGCAAGGATATTGCCAGGTCTGAGATGTTCTTTTCTAGCCCCAAATGCTTTCTTCCAGCATTTTAGTTCATGTACCACTCCATTGCTTCTGGCATTTCATATGGCCAGTGTTATACCCTCCCAAAACCAAATGGGAACAACTCTTCTGATTTAACCTAAAGACTACACTATTGTTCAGATTTTAAGGGTTTGCTCACCTGATCTTTAAGAATGGGGTGGAGAATAAAATTGCTATTAAAACAGCATTTAGCAGGTGAATGCATGCCTGGGTAGTTTTAGAGCCTTGAACAGAAGTAAGGGTGATGACTCTGGTAGGTGTTTGAAAGCTAAAAGGAAGTTGATTACTAAACCGAAGTTTTTGAGTCAAAAAAGAGACAGGCAAATACTCCCCCCATCAAAGTGCAGTAGCCTTTGGGAGTCTGAATAGTGGAATACAGAGATTAAAGTGTTAATTAATATCCACTTAGAAAAACTGATAATACTTCAGCCCATAAAGAATGCTGCTTTTTTCCAGCTTGTGTTTCAATTAGTGTAGTCTTTCCTCGTGCCTGTGCCTGTCCGTTCTCTGGTCATAGGCTGTGGCACGTGAATTGGACTAAAGTTGAAGGGCACAGACAGAATAACAATGATACTGAGATGAAAGGAACAGAAGCAGGGACTCACCACATGTCAAGCTCACCTGTGGTAACTCATGGTAACTGTTTTGCACTTCTGCTCTTTCCTGAACTAAGCTGACACTAACCCAGGGAAGTTTATTCCTGAATACAGTACCTATTAAATGGTTGCAGCTAAGTTTCCACATGGGATACAGTGGGCACATGAAACTGCTACCACAGATCAGTTTGAAGCTCTGTGGGTATGTCTACATGTGCACTTACACCGGCTTAAATTTACTGTGCAGTAAGTTGGAATAGGCGAGCGTCTACACATGCAGGTGTTAAAGTGCACTAATGCTATATGTAGACTGACTTGGAACTTAAGTTAGTCCCAAGTCAGTCCACGCACACAGTGTTACTGTGCAGTAAGGTGTCTAACATGTGCATTACTGCACGGTAACTAATTGGGTGTAAAATTGAGACCTGCATGATGCAGGTCTCAAATTTACACTCAAGTCAGAGTAAGTTGCTATAGTTACTGTGCAGTACAGGCATGCACATGTAGACGTGTGCCCATACAGTGCAGTAATTTTAGTTACTGTGCAGTAAACATGCACATGCAGATGTGCCCAGCAAGTCCTGGTCCCCGTCCCACTCTCCTCCAATCCCTTTCTTCCCCTTAATTAAGTATAGTTGTTTCATTTTACCATCACCCACGCGGTGTGGTGATGGTAGTTCCTGAACCTATACCATGGCTTTGTGACCTGCTTTAGAACATGCTGTACCCTTGGGTGCTTACAGAAGTTACATTTTTCATATGGTGCCCCCAAAGGCACCCCGCAGCTCTAACATAACAAGCATTCATGGCTACAGAGTGCTTTTAAAATGGTGGATGGCGCGAAAATGTAACCTTTGTCTGATGAAGTATCAGACAGGAGCACTCTAAAGCAGAGCGCTTTAGGAAGCCTGTGTACAGGTTCCCTGCAAGGGGAGGGAGGAGGGATGGGGGAAGACCCCCCCCACTGCACATGTGTTCCCCACAGATATCTCTGCTGGGGCCTAGGGGGAAGCCAGGCTGGGCTCGTGCAGCAGCGGGAATCCTTCCCCCCATGCAACTGCCTTGACAGTGGCAAAGGCTGCCATGCCTGGAGATGGGGGTGGGGAGACCTGCCTCAGCTCCCCCCAAAACCCCAGTAGAGGTAGCCAGGATGGGCTCATGCAGTGGCGGGGGGCTCTGTTCCCCCCCTCCCCTGCCTCAGCAACTTCTACTGCTATCAAGATGCTTGCATGGGGGGAAGGGAGCCCCCATGCTGTGCAAGCATGGCATGGCTCCCCCAAGACCCCAGCAAGGGTAGCTGGTGGGGTACTGTCACAGAGCATGCAGGTGTCCTGCTCCTTAGGGTGGAAACAGCTAGGCAGAAGGCCCTAGCAGGGAGTGGGGGGCTCAGCTGCTGGTTACCAGGACAGCCACAGTAGTGATAAAGAAGCACAGCTGTGGGTTGCCTGGGGAACCGGTGAGTCAGCTGACCGGAAGGGGCAGGGCCTGACCTATATATAAACCCAGGCTGAGGCCAGGGAGGCAGT